AGGTGGGGAAAATTTTCCCAAATGCTCTCCTTTTATAGACGCACGGCCGAGGGGTGTGATGATGGTGCAACAACGTGGCCATCTCTTCTCCTTACACTTGCTAACCTCTCAATTAAGCTTTGGATGAGTAAGCAATCTCTTCTTATGACAAGTATCAAGATCTTATTGGTTGAAACCTCTCCTAAGGCTTAAGGAAAGCCCACGGTTCTTATTCATATTTTGGAAAAATTTGCTAAGTTATGGACTTAATGTACTAAGCTACGGCAATTAGGGTTTCTATGTGATTAATTCCAATTAATCACTTAAATGATGTTTAATTGTTAAATTAAACATACTACTTAATTACCAAAATTATTTCGGACATAAACGGTACGCCGAAATTAGATTTCGGTAATTCCGTCTGAACTTAATTAATTCCGAAAATAATAGACGATAACGTTACTATATCGGAATTAAACGTAATTTATACTGATAATATCTCGGGATATTACAACCTTACTGACTGTTTACTAGGCATACAGATCTCTTGACGAGTTTCCAAAATTGGCAGATAATTACTGACTGGAAACCTGAAGAACTCTAGAGTCATCTCGGAAAAATCCTAACGTCTAGAGTCATATCTGAATGCCTGAATACTAGAGTCATGTCCAACCTCTAGAGTCTGAATCTGATTCGAGCATCTTAACTAAAGTTCTGATCCTCTATTCTGAGCATAGACAAAGTAATATGTTTATAATAACTGAAAAACTGAATTGCAACAGCACTTACCTGTCGTCGGCGGGGCGTGAACATGACGGTTCGGGTTTTACTGAAAAATTTCGGACTGTAAACTTTTCTGAAAACTTTTCTGAAAAAAAAAAATTACTTACTGAAAAACTTATCTGACTGAAAACTTATCAGAGACGCAGAAACGTGCTCTGATACCAATTGTAACACCCCACCTTACTAGTAAATCAGAGTAGCACATTTATTCGCAAAGTCTTTTAAAAATAAAACCTTTTTACTTTGCGAAAACTGATTTGGGGTGCTACCGTGAAAAATCGTTACTTAATTAAGAAAACCGTTGTTTTAACTTATTAAAAACATCCGTTTATTTAA